AAATCGTTGCCACCGCGCCAACACCTGAAGGTGCAACTTTGTGGCTCCTCTTGTTTTTACCCGATGCTTGTTTTGGTCCTATGTAGCTTCAATATCTATATATGTCAACACATTAAATACACATTTGAAGTCACATTATATCTTATGACAATACAAGAATAAAAATAGTTATTTTTTTAAGTTAAATACTAAATTAGATATTTTAAAAATTAAAGTAACCAAAATGAATAAAATACAAAATTTAGGATTGACTTAAAAACTTCAAAGACAAATTATACAAAAGACCCCGGAAAAAATGACTTTGGCTTCAATTATGTATCATAAAAAAGGAGATGATAGTGTTATTGTAGATATTAAAAGTTGAATGAATGAGTTTTAAAATAAATAAATGAATAAAAAAATTTATGGGTTAAAATGAAAGTTTTGAAAGGATAGGAATGTAATTGAATCAACCGCATTTTATATAATTAAATTAAATTAAAATAAATTTAAAAGTTTAAGGACATAAATAAGATTTTAACCTTTTTTTATTAAGTAAAAACACTAGATATGAATTTAGTTAAGTGATTAGAATCTTTCCCCACTTTTTGTAATGGCTACGAAATCTTACATTTTTTTTCTCCAAAATTATTTTTCAAATTTATCTTAAATTTACAAAATATATTTTTTTTTATATATAGAAACAACAACGTATAAATGGAAAATAAAAATAATGAAATTGACCGGCAACGATTAGATCAAATATTCGACAATATATATATATTTTAGATTTAAAAGAATTTGATTTTGAACATCCTATTATAATTTTTTTTCTATAAATTGACATGTATAAAAAGAATTTCAATTTTATACATGATTCAACGAACTTTTATTTTTAAGATAGATTCGAAACTGGGCGGCCGGGGGCTGAGCACGCACTGTGCCGCCACAAGAAATTTGACGATTAAATCCCTATTTAAATCAAGTAGTGTTGAGTCAAGCTAGAGTAAAGTTTCACGAACAAAGGAGACTCTACTATTATATAGATTTGTTAGAGTGACATTGAGACTTAGGCTATCAATAAACTTTTAAATGTCGATGTCGGTAGAAATGTCGAGATATCGATTTTGTAAAAATATCATGTTGATGAATATTTCTGTAAAAGTTAGAGAAATTATAAAATCGTAAAAGATATTTAAATTTACAAATAGATATTTTTCTATTTCTAAAGAAGTTAAAAACGATTAATATTAATATTACGTGTATATTATTGACGTTTTGTTAATATTTTTCATATTTTACCGATTTTTTTTTTGGTAATTTAATTAAAAATATTGATTTACCTTTTACGTCGATGTTGAACTCATAAATATCGTCGTGTCGATAAATATCTAATATCGTAACTGTCCGATTTACGTACGAACGGATTCATCTGTTTCAAACCAATTTGATCCAACTTAGTGCCGCATTGTGACTAGCTAGCATTCGTCCACCCGGACAAGCATTTTCTTATCCATAACAAGTGAGGTTTCTAATGCGCCAACCATATTGAGCTGTATTCATTTTAAATTGTGTAAATCCCCGATTGGAAGAGTTTGTAAATCCACTCAGTGAGAGAATTTGTTAATGTGCCTTTTTTAAGTTTCAAATATTATAACGGTTTGATAATCAACTATGGGGAGGATCGGATTTGTTCTCAAATAGAGTAGTGTAACGGTTGGACTTGATCTATAAAAAGAATCGAGATATTTTATTCAAATTTTTAAGAGGCGTTTGGGGACTAGAGTATGTCGAGTTTTACCAAAGCACGATAAAATTATAGTGTCAGCTTTGTTTGATTTTTTGAAGAAAATTAATTTTAAATAAAAATAAAGTACCACAATTTTTCGTGATAGGACGTGTCTTTTGTAAAGGGCACAACATTATATGATAGAACATGTCGACATAACTTTATATGAAAAGACGTGACTATTTGAAAGACCACAAATAAATGTGGTTTATTTTTAGTTTGGAATACATTGAACCTATCTCTAGAAACAATGGTTCATAATACTTTGGGTAAGAGGAATAAAATTGTCTTAAGAAAACAACGCTACTGTTGGATTCAGATTGTTCAATTTTATATTTCTGATAGTAAATCGAGTAATTTCTCCATACTGTTTTAACAATTCTCTAACAAAGTAAATGATATTGATATGCCTAAATTAAAAAAAAAAATGAGTATAATCAAAATGAAATGAAAAAAATGTTCTTCGTTAAGGCTATAAATTGTTTGTATTGTACTTTAAGCAAATAAGACTTCAATAAAAGGTCTATGTGTTCTTCCGCTAAATATATATGGAGTACTCTTGAAGTTATCATAAGGGACAAATCAAGTTAAAGAGTCTAAAATTAGCATATACTTGTGCGCTGAATAGTTTAAAATTGATGCTAAGGAGGCTATTACCTATATATTAACTTGATTTACTAACATTATAAATGCCTCGACGAGTCTTGGTGAAGAATATGCAACCTCCAAAAATGTTGGGAAAATCTTAAGTATCTACCTAGGAATTGGGAAACAAATGTGAACTAATCCAAGAAGCAAAAGATCTCTCCAAACTTTCCATGGGAGGAAATCATTAGCTAGCTTTATTATGACACATAAGATTACTGTGAAATTGCACTTGGAAGATGAGTACCTTAAAGAACATCTCTTTGGAAGTTGACTCTAAAGATGTGAATGTCTTTAGAGACCATCTCAATTGGAGTTCGACTCAGAAAATTCATTACATGAAAGACTGAGAGGTGTGGGAGCTTGGCATTCCACTTCATGCTCAACTAGATCATTAGTCGGTATATTAGGTCCTCTTTGATGTCGTTTTTCCCTACGCTCTGGTCCATCCAAATGCCTGACTCGATAGGCATTGGTGAGATTTTGTAGGGACCTTCTACCAAGATCAGTCATGTTTGGTAAATTATTCTGAAAAGGGAAAAAAATTATTATCACATGAAAAGATATATGGTTAGCCATGTTAAACAAGTTATATGTCTAATTATATCTAATTAAAAACCTTTATATATGATTAAGAAAATAATAAATAAATTCTTACCAAATAATTATATGATGCTCCTGCTCTGGTGATGTATCGTCTAGTAATGCTATAATACCAACAGTAGTATCTAGGCTCAACATCTTCATCCCGGTTTATATGTTGCCCCTGAATGATAACATTATGTCGATTTTCCCACTCTGTAATTTGAGGAGCCAAATGACTAACCCAACTTCGTTCATGTCTACCACGTAGGTCATATGTGTGCAGTTGCATATCTGTATTGCATTGTGCAGGAATATGTTGCATCCACCCAAATTGACGCATTACACGATCTGGAAGGTGCCACTCTACTGCAAAAAAACATATGAGTGGGCTTCTAGTCGTCCATATATGACGACCATTGAGACAATATTCGGGTAATCTTTCTATTAGTTGCATATACGACTCCCAAATAATCTGCATCATTCTTTAACATAAATGCGCAAAAAAATAAAAATAAATGTTAATAAAAATAACGTATGAATATAATTTAAGCATACCTGATCAGGCATAAGTGTATCTACATATATCGATATTGGATCAAAACATGTGTAGTTACTTCAGTGACACAAAATTCATCATTCCATCTCCCCATTATAAAAAATTGAATATTAGTTTTATTGTGACACAATTAAAACATACAAATAAAGTTTTTAAATTAAAAATTCAAATTTCATACCGTACTGCTAATGGCCTATCTCCCAAGTTATTCTCATATCGATGTAGCCTCCGAGGTGCTAAGGTGGGGAATCGATCCCATGCCCAAATTTGAAGCAATATAAGTGGACCTGCTATATCTTGTGCATCAATAATTGAAGCTTTGCATAGCTCTCTATAAAGCCATGCAAGACAACCTGCCCCCCAACTATACTGTCCTGCATCCTCAAAATCTGCTAGGAGAGGTAGGTACATGAGGTGAACTCTACTATTAGACTTACCTGGGCATACCATACCTCCGATAAGTGTAAGAATGTACGCTCGAGCATAACGCTGAACATCATGTTCATTAGCATTCTCTGGTAGATGGGCAAAATTATTAAATTGGTTAGCTAGCCATGGCAAGCTAAGGCGACCTCCTTTTAGAACTACATGTTCTGGTGTAACTCCTAGTAAAACAGTACAAATATCTTTCCAATTATGCTGAATCGACCCAGTCAAAGCTTTCCCATCAACTGATAGTCCAAATTGGATGGCCACATCCTGTAAGGTGATGGTACACTCTCCATGAGGCATATGGAATGTGTGTGTCTCTTGTCTCCATCGCTCCACCAAAGCAGTGATTAAATGTCAATCTAATTGGATAAAACTAATGCACGACAAACCATAAAATCCAGATTGTCGTAGATAAGGCTCAATCCGAGGGTCTGGTCGTGTCATTCTATTAATAACAGCCTCGCGACGTCTACAATGTAAAGCATTAGTATACTCGTCCTGCCAAACCAACTCAGATCGATGGTTGGCCTGAAGGTATAAAACAGATTGATCAAACGGTCCTGTGCTAATATCATCCTTCATCTAATAAAATTTAAATAAATTTAATTAAATATCGTCCTCAATAAATAAATTATTAATAATGTGAATTAGGCTAAATATTTAATAAAATGTTACAACCTGTTTATGAAATAAATATTACATACATAATAAATTAATAATTTTGGATTTAGGATTAAGTTTTGTGTAGATATTTTCTATTAGCCACAATTTTTAAGGTTTAATGTTTGAGGGTATAAATAGAATCTTTTGATATATTTCTTTCTTCAAATTTTTTTTTCTTTTGAGTAGGTATTTTGATGTGTTTCATTGAATATGTAATATGAATATAACAAAATCTCATCACTTTATGGAATAATTACAGTATTAAGAAAAATATGTAAATACAGTAATAAGAAAATACGTGATTGGTGACTATCTTCTTTTTAATTTAAAATTAAACTCATGGWCTATGTTGTTTAAAAAAATAAAAAATAAAAAAATCATGGTCTATGTTTTAAGAACTATCCTCGATATTTAGTGTCTCTTTTCTTTTTTATGTTACTATAATTTAAACTTTTTCACACGCGAAATCATATAAATCAATCAATAATTCTCTTATAACTTAAAATTATGACATAATATATATTATCTAATTAATAATYATGATGTACTAATTACTTATATTTTTATTTTTGATTTTTATTTAAAAAACCTATTTAGATAAACAAAACTATATGCCAGCCTAGATTGATTTAATAGAAATTGAATTTAAGTTTTTCATAGCAAGTTATTATTACTTTATTTTATTTAAGTGCAATATTTGGAGATAGAGATTCGAACCTATAATATTTTAGTCGGAGATCGTGTGGCGATATGGGGTGAAAAAAGGAAAGTCTTTTAACTATATTAAAATTGTCAATTATTATTATTATTATAGAGGAGAATTACTAATTAATTCTTATTAGGGTATTTGATGTGACTCAGCAGTCACCACACACATGGAAAACCACCAGCCTTCCCTTGTTTTTTTCTTTTTATATAATATAAATCACATTTTGGCACTATCTTTAAACATCCACATATTTTTCTTTTCAATCTTTGAATTTTTTTAAATATCATAATGTTCTATTTCATTATTTAATTTTGTATAAAAAAATTATATTAATTATTACAGTAAATACTATTCCACCTCATTTTATCACTACTCTTCAAGTCATTATAATATTTTTTCATGACCCTTTTAAATTGCTAAATTGCATATTTTATCTTTTATCTCTCTTCTAGGATGTATTAACTTTTTAATAAAATATATTAAATGAATAATAAAATTAATTAATTATAATTTAAATAATAAATAAGTAAATAAATTTAATTAAAATTGCAAGTAATAAATTATTAATTCATATATCGAAAAAAAATTTAACAACCAACCTAACYATTTCACTCAAACCTGTTATAAACTTCATTTACACACTTTGGTTACACTTCGAAAAATATTTTAAAAAATCAATAATAAAACTAATTAAATATTTATTTCACACAATAATTATTCAAAAAGAATTTAGATTAATAATTCTATCAAATTATTCATACTCAAAATATTAGTTACTAAATAAATATTATACATTTTTAATCAAATATATAAATAATTTAAACTTAAACTAATTTATTTCAAACAGGTTTATTTCTCTAAATCCATAATTTCATCAAACTCTCTTTACTCATCCAGTGTAAATGTCAAATTAACCTAATTAATTAGAGAAATGTATTTCATATAATGAATGAATTTAACTATTTTTTTAGTTAGGTTGGATAGTTTGGATTGAAGTTAATAACTTTTAAATAATTATTATTTAAAATGTGTTAACTTTTTAATCAAAATGTATAGGGATAAAATTAAGCAAACAAATGTATTAATTTTTTCCTGTTGATATTGAAAATTATCTTCCTAATTTTATAAGAAAATAAATTTTTTAACTATTTTGATCAAATGATTAATATATGAAGTATTTATTATTTATTATAAATTCAAAATCTACCAAAAAAAAAAAACACTAAGCTTAAGTTTAACAAAACAGTATCTAAACTGACAGACTCAACAACTCTATTTTTGTCCAAACTTTAAGAAATCCAGACTTCATAAATCTATTATTTCACAACCACGCACTGACTTGACAACTCATACTTAATATAGCCAAGTTTAATCAATTTCTCACGCATGCGRACCAAATACCTCAAAATTTTAGAATTATGGAAGATTTTAAAGTTTAG